ATAAAAACACAGACTGACAGTCTATGTAATCTTAATGATAATATGTAAACAGGATTATGTAAAAAGATTCCACAAAAATCACTATAATTAACCCAGATTGCATTTCAGACAATGTGTAATTAGATCATAATGAAGTTGTCAGGGGTCACGTGATTACATTTTGTTCATGTCTTTTAAAATTTTGAACTATACTTTAAAATTAGGAAAACTTTGCGATAAACACAAAACCCCATGTTTCACAGTAGATAAGGTCATCTGATTTACCCAAGTGTAAGTGCTGAATATTCAAAATACATTTAATTTGCTTTGCTAATACACTTTTTAATTGAAAAACATCACCAACATTCAGTACTTTCATTTTGAGACCATTACATTTTCCCTTATATCACCCAGAATGCTCTGCATGATCTCATAAAATACTCTTTACAGTCTGTAATCAACGTTATTGTGTGTTTGTCTTTTTTTTCTAGTCCTCACCATGCTGAGTACTACTTACATGAAGCCAAAAGGATGAAGCACCGTGCTGATGCCATGGTGAGTCTTTGATCTTTGCTTGAATATAAATTGTTAATATTGAAATTATAGTTATTGCAGATAACGTGGAAGAAGTTTGGAGCTTATTTATTTATTTTTTAAAATCTGTGTTCATTAAGCATGCAGTTCTTTGTCTCTGTGTAGCTTTGCATGATTCACAGTTCAAAATAATCCTTCTTTGTGCATTTCTGGACTGTGATGTAGCTCCTCGCTTACAGTGTCTCCGAAATCACAGACTGCATTTAAAAGATGGGCATAGCTACTGTGACATCACCCATCTGGATTATGAACATGGAAGACCCTTGTTAACAAAGTGACCATACTTGGATGAGAGTAGGGAATGCTAATTTATCAGCTAATGTTAACAGGCTTGGTTTGGATGCAGCACCCAAAAACTTTGTGGGTGCACTGCAAAATCAGTGTTACATATAAATAAAATACACAATCCAAAATTTCACTCAGTGAAACAGCGCAAAACTATTCGACAGTTTGTAGCTCACATTATTACTTGTTATTTGTCGGATAATAGAAGTAAAAATTAAAAAACAACTACTCTTAATGCAGGCGTTCACAACGACTGCGTGATGGATTCATTTGTTTTTTCAAACTGAGCTTGAGTTTTCAGATTTTTCCGACCAATCAGACCACTGCATTCAGCAATAAACGTGCACCAATACTGAATATACAAATAGTGAAATAATCCAATTTTACCTCAGACACAGACACTGCTCTGGGTCAGTCGGCTCTCTAAAATGATTTCTCTCCCTCCTAAGATGTGTTCCCAACTCTGCCAACATGAGCTCAAACTGCCCCACTGACATCCTGAAATATGCACGACAGCGGCCGCGATACAGCTTCACCTCCTGAAATTCTCCATGCTGCTGCCTTTTCCTGGGAATCGAATGAACACAGACTCTCAGTTTCTTCTTTTTCTCGTTTAGAAACCTCAGGAGCAGCTGATCATCCCAAACAAATTAGAGACCAAAACTTTTTTTGTGCCAGGCTTTAAGTGCTATAGTGTAAATATGCCTATCAAGTTAGACATTTTAACATTGGGGTCTTTGTGGATTGACTTTTTTTTTTTAAGTGGCCAATCCAGGAATTGCAAGAACCATCTGAAATGAAACATTTACAGCACTTTGAAGCATACCCTTACAATAAAGATTACACTGACACCATCTTCTGGTATAAATTGGTTTATATCAGGGCGATTGGGGTGCCAGCCATACTTACAGCCAGTTTAGAATCACTAAATAACCTAACATTTTGGCTTCTTTTGCCTCTCCAACTGTGGGAGGAAGCAAGCTACTGGATTCAAACCCAGAACTTTTTTGCTGTGACAGTGCTAAACATGTATCACTGGGCTGCCCAAAAAAAATTAACAAATAAAATAATATTTTGCCTCTTTTGATTATTTCTTTCCAGGTCGACAAGCTAGGGAAGGCTGTGAACTATGTTGATGCTGCTCTCTCGTTCATGGAATGTGGGAAGGCAATGGAGGAAGGGCCGCTCGAAGCAAAGTCTCCTTATACCATGTATTCGGAAACAGTGGAGCTCATTAGGTGAATGACATTTCAATGCTAAAGCGGTCACAAGTCATTTGGATTTGGATATGTGCATAAACACAAATTGTGGCACTGGTGTTAAAAAGCCTGTTTCTTAAGGTACGCAATGAAGCTGAAGAGCCACTCTGGCCCCGGGGCCAGACAGGAAGACAAACAGCTGGCGGTTCTGTGGTACATATTTCTTCATCTCATCTGTTTAAGCCACATCTATCATCATACTGAAGGACATGCATTTTGAGGATGATTTTGCGCCATGTCCGACTCTTACCCACAGTTTCCGATGCCTGGCCCTCCTTTACTGGCAGATGTTTCGCTTGAAGAAGGATCACGCGCTGAAATACTCCAAAGTGCTGCTGGATTACTTTAAGGTACATCTAAAAACAAGTCATTTAATTGAAAACAAGTCAACTTTTATGTGTGGATGACACGTCAATAAGCCTTGTTTGCATGTTGTTACAGAGCTCTCCTAAAGTGCCTACTACCCCACCCGGTTGGAGTGACTCTGGGAAGTAGGTGGATGATAACTTTGAATGATCGGCCTTTTCTTCAGCCCATTTAGTCCACTGAAACCACCGCTGATTGCCCATCACTCTGTTGTGTATGTGTGTTTTCACTCTTAGGGGTACAGGAGGACCCCCCTCTTCACTCTCGCCTAATACCAAACACCTCGCACGGGTTTCCCACGAGGGCAGCAGCTCTGCCTCCCTCATAAGCATTCCCCACCGTATCCACCAGATGGCAGCAACTCACCTGAACATTACCAACAGTGTGCTGTACAGCTATGAGTACTGGGAGGTGGCAGACAACCTTGCAAAGGAGAATAAAGGTAGTGGTGATTTAAATGGGAAATAAAAAGAGGAGAGATTACCATGAAAATATGTCAAATGCATTTTGGTTTTCAGATGTTTTAAGACCAATATCTTTTTTTTCTTCCTCATCAGAGTTCTTCAACTACTTGAATACTTTGTCTGGGCCATTGACTCTTCACAGTAGCATCGCTCACGCTGTCCAGTACACCAGGCAGGCCCTTCAGTGGATACGCATTAGTGCCAAACTCAACTAACTTAGAAAGGATTCACTAGAACCTGCCCACTGGATCTCATTGACGGTAGAGGAGGTAAAACTCTGGAGAGCACTGAGATGGATGAACTCCCACAGAGCCTAATAACCCCCACAGTATGTTTTGGTGCATACGCTTCCTTACTGTGTGCACATTAAATGAGCCTCTTAACCATTTGCCAAATGTCCCTCGGACCTTGGAGGATTCACACGTATGTTCAAATTCACCCGGAAAGCCTTTTTCATACTTTGGAAGTAATCGTTAATCTAGCGGACTTTTTCTCAAGGGGCCAAAGCAGGAGAATATCCTTAAAAAAAAAAAAAAGACCTACAACTAGAGAACTTGTTTGCATCTTTTGCTAATGAGGGTTGTAATGATGTACTTTTTTTCATTGTTTTTACTGTGCAATATTTGATGGATGGTTTGTTTTTAGAAAAAAAAGAGGAAGACTTGCAAGAGAATAAAATGTTTGTCCCTTTTTATTTTTGAGTGTGGAGTTACATAAACAAACTTTGTACTGAAGACATCCCTCTGTCGGTTTACAAATTGGGTCTGGTTAAGGGTTACATGGAAATACATACAGGATGATAATCTTTTCCCTCAATGAGGAATATTTCTTCTAATAATCAGCATGTGAAACCCATCAGAAACCACTGGATGATGGCTGTATATAGTGCTTTTCTACTCTGAGCACTCAAAATGCATTTTACTAGAAGCCTCATTCTCCCAATAACACACAAATTCTTACAAGTGCTTTTTTCTACACCTAAGCACGCCCTGTCTAACATTTGCACACTCCAGTGGATGCACTAGATTTAAATATCATCCCCAAGAATACTTCAACATGCAGACTGGAGTAGCTGGGAATTGAACTACTGACCTTCTGATTAATAGACTGCCTGCTCTACCCCAATGTTGAGATTACTTGAGAGAAAAAATGTAGGTGGCTAATCAGAGGCAACATGTGTTGCATGTGTTTCAGTGTACTTAATGAACCTTTAAATAAGTGCAGGTGTACGTTTATAGAAAGCTACTTTGCATATTTTTGACCTTACTTGTGAATAAGGACTGCTCAGATGAACACACTTTCTTATGAATGTTTCTCATTAGGACACTTAGTTCCTTTGATGATTTGGAGGAGGATCTTTTCTGGGCTTTTTTTCCATTACACTCATGCACGCACACACAGTCATAGTTGATTTACACACAAGAGAAGAAGGTCCGCACAATGTGACTGTAAACAGATTTATGTTCCCCAAAACATGAGTCATGAACACAAACACTCACACTGAGTGAAAGTCAGCCTCATTAGTCACCAAGTTACACTCTCCATCACTCCACTCCGCCACTTCCTGATGCACCAACACAGATGTCGCACATGAAGCTTCAGCATCCGATGTCTGGTACCATAGCAACAGAGAACAACCAATAAGGGGTGTGGGGATGGGAGGGGTGAGTGCTTTTTGGGACAGGCTTGGGTCAGTAGCATCCTTGCTTTCAGTGAAATACGAAGTCTCCAAACACAATCAGTAGCAGACTACTTGTTTATCCCCCTGAAAAATATGACCCACTTTATTTACACTTCCTTTAACACGCAGGCTCCTTTGTTGCAGTCTATATTTTAAACAAACCGATCAAAGATGAGAAAGCTTTGATTAAGTGTCCAAATCAAACAAGGTACTGCAAAGGAGACAGGGCCCAGACTAGTTTTTTTATGCTCCTCAGCGTCCAACTCACTTATTTTGCTAGCGATGGAGGAAACTCCACCCCGTCTTTGCTTTTGCTAGCGCTGTTTTTAATACTATAGACTACATTAAAAAATAGAGAGCAGGTTCGCGCGGATGAGTGTTCACGTCCTCGTTCGTGCTGCACGTGCCTCTGCGTCACGGCCGTCAGTTGCCTATGAGATGAACGGCCATCTGAGGACAACCGTGCTGGGGGCCAGACAGTATACGCACACCACGGAAAAAAACCCCGTGTATGTGTGTGTGTCCCTAGACTGCTCCGCCAACCGCTGTTGTGTCGCAGAAAAGCGGACACCTTGCACACAAACCCTCCTGAGTTCAAATGAGCAGCGTCACTCTGAAATAACCGACTGTCGCCGCGACAAAATAGCGGCTTCACAACGGCGACTCGTTTTTCGGCTCCCGAGTGAGTAAACTAGCACCGCCAGTGGGTTAAAAACTGCACAGAGCTTTCTGTACTGTTATAGACAATCCAGGTGACATGTACGTGACTGTCCGCGTAGTGGCAGCATCGCAGCTTCAAGCAAATACTGTATACAGTGCTGAAAACAAGAAGCCGGGGATGATGCGTCAAGCTACCTGAAAGGGTACACGACGACCGGAAGTTGGGCGTATTTTGTTTTTGAAAATAGCGGTTTATGCTAGGCAAATTTTTCAGTTTAAATCAACAGATATATAGAAATGTGTTTGATTTTAAGGAAAGCGCACTAATTATAATTTGGTATTTTTTCTACACTACATAGCATACATACAGAAATACATTTTTAAAATCTATAGAAAATCAAATGCTGTCCACATGTTTGAATATGCTGAACGGTTATCTTAGCTTATGAGTGTGCGTTTTCCACAAGTTTAAAATATAACATAAAACTACTGTGTTAACAGTCTGGATATTGTAAAATAAGCTCATGTCTGCAGTGCAGTATATATGTGAGTAATCATACACACCATAAGAAATGACACTGGAGGTATAGGTCAATTAAATTCCACAGAATTTTGCTCCCTTACACAAAATGTTACCATAGTGGTCTATTTTTGTTCTACCTCTTTTGGCCACTCAATATAGGGGTTGCCACAGTGGATCATCTGCCTCCATCTCACCCTGTCCCTATCCTCCTCTGTCACAACAACACTCTCCATGTTCTCCAAGAACTTTGTCTGTTGTCTTCCTCATCTCCTCCTGCCTGGCAGCTCCATGTCCAAGATCCTTTGTCCAGTATATCCACTGTGCCTCCCCTGCACATGTCCAAGCCATGCCATGCATTTGTCTCCAAATCGCTCAACCTGAGCTGTCCTTATGGTGTACTCCTTTCTAGTCGTGTCCATCCTGGTCAGTCCCAGTGAAAATCTAGCGTATTCAGCTCGTGTCTTTTTCGTGTCACCATCTCCAAACTATATACCATAGCATCTCATAAAACTTCCCTTTCACTCTTGTTGCTATCTTTATCTCAAAATTATTCTTGACACTTCTCTCTGTCCATTCCAAACCGCCTGCACTTCTTTCTTTACCTCCCTTGTACACTGTACATTGCTTTGGATGGTTGATCTCAGGTATTTAACCTCATCTACCTTCACTTCACCTGCTTCTTGCAGCTTCACTGTTAGTGTTTCCACAAAGCAGTTTCCTTCTCATTCACAGACATGCATTCTGTTTTGTTTGTACTGACTTTCCATCTGCAGAGCATACCTCCACTTGTCCAGGCTCACTACAGATGATGTCATCTGGAAACGGAGACTCCTGCTTGACCTGTCCGTCGTTATCATTACAAACAAGAAAGGGCTCAGAGCTGATCTCTAATGTAATCCGACCCCCATCTTGACTCTATCACACCTCATGGCAGCTCTGCACACCCTTGTTCCAGAAAACCATAACAGCCTAGTCGACAACCTTTATTTTGAAAGTTTTGCTACCGGAACTACTTTTGCCTTGCTCATTGGTGCTTGCTGAGAGAGAGAAAAGAAAGCAAAGGGATTCAGGCGGTTGAAATGGAGAGCGAAGGGACTGGGAGGGTGAGTGAAAATGTTCAAGAGACATGGCGTGGCAGCATGACACAATAAAGGGGACCTCGGTTCACCAAAAGGAGTACTCGGAATAACAGAATCGGGGAGGCGGAGGACTCGATCTGACTGTCAGAGGATTTTCATCTCGCTTTGCTTTGGTCTTACCTCGTTTAACCCAATCAGTGGGCACACAACGTTTCAGCTGAGCAGTATCTGCAGAGAGAAGTCTGTGGCTAACAACCAAGTCTGACAGGATACAAGGTAAAGCACTTCTCTTTGCGAGCAATCACTCAGGAAGGTTGGTTTGTTTACAGCCGTGGTTATCGCCACACTAAAGTTGCATAGTGTTATAGCGCTGTTTAACGCTGGGTTGCTAATTCTACCAGTATTGTTAGCAAGAGTCTGCAAAACACTCAAACTGTTCCTGATCCTTGATTTATAATACCATTTAGTGGCGTAGCGACATGCATTATTAACCAGCTAAAACCGCTTAGAGTTGCTAGGCTAATGCTAGCCGTCCACCTAGCTCGTACATGGAAGAAGTGACAAAGTGGCACATGGGGCTATGCTGTGACCTATAGCGACTCGTTGTGACCTACCTGTCAACCGCAGAGAATCTGCCCGGGCATGTCCTTTGGCACGGACGGCTTTCCCTTAAAGTGTGCGGCCAGTACCATGGCATCTAAGCTCATTTAACATTGATTCGTTTAACTGTTGTTAATATCACTGGTTGCATTGTTCCTGCCATTTGGTTTGCACATGGGGAAGTTTTGTAAACAAGAGACATCACTCAGGAAGGACTGACTTTACTGTCACCTGGTGTTTAAAATAACTGCCACACCATCTGAGCAGCATTTATGACATTTAGGTTCATTTCAGATTGGATAAAAAGCTGTTATGCATCGCAAAGGTGATTTTCTTGTCCTCCTGGATTTAACCATAACCTGTGAAATTAAGTCAGCAGTTTTATTGTGTGCATTTATGATTGTGCATCTCTGAGTTGTTCTGTCTTTGTACTGAGGAATTGTCTCTCTTCTGCTTTCAGATACTCAGTATGAGTCGAGATGGTTGGATGAGGAAAAGAGCCAATGCCAGCGATGACAATGGTTGGGGCGAAAGGGTGAGTCTTATTTAACTCAGCTCGGTATGGAATGGAGCTGTGTGTAAGGATAGTCAGTTAAAAGGTATTACATGGTTTGTGCATTGTGTGCCTTCCAGCATTAATGGGGACACTAGGAACACCCCATCGCCCTCCCACACACTCATTATAACAGCTAAGAGCTGGATTTAGATCACTAGTTGTCTAATTGGTTAAGACTGGCATTCACATTTATGCTTTATAAGAAGAGTGACCTCTCCATATAGCAGTCCAATATACAGGCAAGGCAATAATGAAAACTCAAGTAGACAGCAATATATCATAATATTAGTATCTGTGCAGAATAACTGAGTGAGAAAACCTCCAGTGTATGTGTGTGTATATATATGTGTGTGTGTGTATGTTTAGATATTGTGTGCAATATTATGACTGTATATAGATATCACATAAAATATTTTAAAATCTTCTTATTTTTGCTGGTCATGTGCAAACCATAAAAATCTGGTTTGTTAATTGTTTCCTGTTTGTCTTTTTGTTTCTATAACTGCTCTAATTACTGCATGCAGGGCGGCTACATGGCCGCCAAAGTTTCTAAGCTGGACGAGCAGTTTAGACTTGACGCCCCCAGAGAAAAGCAAAAAGAAGGAGCGTGCTCCAGCATCTTCACCGGAGTGGCTATTTATGTCAACGGATACACAGGTAATGCTTTGTAAATATTTATGCAGATTATAAATTTGGTTTGCCTCATTTCTTCAGCTGCTCCAGCATGAAGACCATAAATTCTCTCAGATTTCTCTCTCAGAGGATTAACTGATGAAAACAGTCTTCTGAATGCTGTTTTCTTTCATAAATTAAAAAAGTACGTACAGACTTCTTTGGCATTTTTCTCACACTGATTTATTAGGTTTTTTTTGGTTTGATTTATAGTTTCATAAATCAGTTTTTGACTGTCTTGATTTTATAACTCAAGGTACTGTTTTTCCACTGTGATCAAATCACAGGTTAGTGTATGCTTGATGTAGTATTGTATTTTGCTTTCATAAAAGCTTCGTAGCTCAAAATCATCATATGAAAAATGATCAAGGGAAAAAAATAACTTGGAAAAACTGAAATAAACATCAGGCTCATCACCTGATGACATCTGCAGCACACTGGAGACTCATCTCACAGGCAAAAGATGCCAAAGTGCAGTAGCTTGGGAGTTTCTATCCACACAGTGACTATGGCTGTGTTAAAATTGCTGGTTTTTGAGGCACTGGGAAATATGACAGTGATGTATCCTGATGAGCTGACAGCTGTCATGATGCACATCAAGATGCTGTCTAAGGTGTTTTTTGCCTTTTAGTAAGTTGACATTGTCATTTTTGCCACACTTTCATATTTTTGGGAGCAGATCCCAGTGCAGATGAACTACGCAGACTGATGATGCTGCATGGGGGTCAGTTTCATGTCTACTATTCACGCTCCAAAACCACCCACATCATCGCCACTAACTTGCCTAACAGCAAAATTCAGGAGCTCAAAGGGGAGAAGGTCATCAGGCCAGAGTGGATCACTGACAGGTCTGTTCATTGCAAGTTGATAATGTTTATATTTCATATTTTGTTGTACAGTATTAGCTGAAAACCTTGTTTATCTTGTCATTTGTTTAAAACAGTATCAAAGCTGGGCACCTCCTGCCATATCTACAGTACCAGCTGTATGGCAAACACAAAGGCCCGCTCTTCCCTGGCATGACTCTTCGTCAGACCTCAGAGATTCCTGGACCGAGCCATGGGGTGCTTCAATCAAGTACCCATCTAAAACTAAATCTGCCGCAATGCAAAATTAAACCCCCTGTTCTCAATCATAAGAAGTCTTTATGCAGCGCTCAGAGCACCCCCATCCCCGTCCACATCCCCAGCCAATCCCGACCTCAACCTGAGTCCATTCAGCACAGCTCTCCAGCTCGCTTTGTTAACCCCGAACCGAGTCACTCTGCATCCGGCCACCTCATTACAGATCCCAGCCACAGAAGCCCTTTGCACACACACCTGCTGCTTAATCCAAACTCCACAAAGCACCCACACAAGTCTCCGCAGTCTGCTTCCCCACAGGAAGCAGAATTAAAAACGTGAGTATGTAAAGTAAGTAGTTACACTTAAAGTGGACCTCTTATGCATTTTTCCTTGTTCATTATTTAGCATCAAAACACTATATTTCAGACATTTGTTCTCCTTTCAGACCACTCTGATGTCATAGAGGTGGCCTATCCTTTATAATATGTTTGACACAAGGCTCCTGTTGTGCACACATTCGATGTTCAGATAGTCTTTTTCAGAATGAAGTTGGCTTAAAGGGAGATGTGTTAGCACAACTAATTTCAAATCGTGTAAGATAAATGAGGTTTCATTTGAATTGAGAATCAAGCAACTCTGGTAGACTCAAGTAACACAAATAAGGATCTGAAAATGTGAAAAATAGGTCCACTTTAGGTAATAGCTCAGTAAGTTCTGTAGATTTTTTTTTTAAAACTAACTTTACATTTTAAGGTTTTGAACAGAAATCTTTAAAGAGCTTGAAGTTTTTTTTTAAATGTCATTGATTAAAAACTCTTCATGTCCTTTTTATCACAGAAATAGAAACTTGCAGACCTCAGTGGATGTGAGCCATTCGAAAATGAATGAAATCCAAGAGTGTAGCAAAGAAGAACCTCATCTCGCTGGGGCCTCAGATGTGAAGGATGCCCCCTTGACCAATGGACACACTCACATTGTTAATGGTGCCTTAAATTCAGAGGACCTGTCCCCTGTTACAAATCAACCATTTTTGATCAACAGCCTGTCCAAATGCAGGGTTAGGAGTTCACCAGATAAACCTCAAAGTCCTTCTGTACAGTTCCAGGCCAAGCCTGACCCCTACGAGTTTCCCCAAAGCCCTCCAAAGCAATCTGACCAGTCCCTTGTCCTCGTGCAGCAATCCAGCTCACAAAGAGCCAATGAGAAAAGACTTAAGCCTCCACCACCAACCTATCAAGAGGCTATAAAAGCCACTGAAAGCCACCTCTTCCCAAAGCAGCTTCAAGCACCCCTTCAGGTCGATATGATTTCTGAAAAGACTCTTTCTCCTGCATCTCGCTCTCTTTCACATTCTCCAGTTCGACTAAACGGAAGTCACCACAACGCCTTTACATCTGACTCTGCCTCCCTCAGCACAAATAATGTAACATTCAAATCTGAACCTCCCATGGACGAGTCATCGTCATCATCATCCAAGTCTTCAGCACAGCTGCTAGAACATACGGGCAGTTTGATCTCCGAGTTCTACTCTCACTCACGTTTGCACCAGATCTCCACGTGGAGGAGTGGCTTTTCTGAGTACGTCAATGAACTGCACAGCAAACGAAAAGGAGCAGGGGGCGCCAGCCTTCCTGGGAAAGAGCGTTTGAGGAAATCTGCGGCCCAGCGATCTATAGACACTAAAGGTAGGAAAGGTAGGGTTGCTGTGTTTGTTTTCTGTACATTTCTGAGGGCTTCTTTTCTTTATGTTGCCTAAAGACTTTGGACCAGGGATAAAAGATGTGCCCTTGCCTGCTCCAGCTGGGGACCTTGGTTGTATGTCAGTCAAGGTCTAGATCCCCTATAAAGGGGAAAAAAAGCTTAGCAGTATATTATGATTTATAATTCTACAATTACCATTTTTTTTGCAGTTGTATGACTTATATGCTTGTATGCTAGAAAACCTGGTATATATTGAGTATAGCAGTGAATACCTTTAATTGGTAGGCCGTCGACATCATTGAGGCACTGCATACATGCACCACAATTGTGCATTAATATTTTATTTAAATCTGAAAAACTGCCCATTGACAATATTTGTATGTATTTGTTATGTGTCAGGTTCATCAGCCCAAGTCAGTGTTAAATCTTGTATCCTCCATGTGGACATGGACTGTTTCTTTGTGTCTGTGGGGATTCGAAATCGACCAGATCTTAAAGGCAAGCCACGTTTTTGTCTGTTTAAATGTGCTATCAGTAAATTTAAAAAAAAATATGGATGTAACACACTCGCTGCTCGTGTTTAAAATTGGTTCTTCCAGGTAAGCCTGTAGCTGTGACCAGTAATCGTGGACAGGGCAGAGGGCCTGTGAGACCAGGAGCTAACCCTCAGCTGGAGATGGAATACTACCAGAAAAAATACACACATCCACAAGCTGGTGAGATTGTCATAACAGTGGCTTTCACAGGCTTTTACATGTCCAGCCCTTCTGTAACTAAGCGTCCACTCTCTGTTCACCTTTCAGAGAGCGCAGAGGATGAGATACACACAACTCCTTCACAAGAAAGCCCTGACTCTCGTACCAATGGAGTAGAGCAGGATGCTGTTGCTCTCTCAATGGCAGAGATTGCATCCTGCAGTTATGAGGCCAGGTAACCTATAAAAACAGATCAGGTCTGCCTTAGTTTCGTAACAATAAGAATATGAACATATATTCTTTCTTCCACAGGCAAGCGGGCGTAAGAAACGGCATGTTTTTTGGGAAAGCAAAACAGCTGTGCCCCGCACTGCAGTCTGTCCCATATGATTTTGAGGCCTATAAAGAGGTGGCCCTCAATATGTATGAGACTCTGGCCAGGTAGAAAAACAGCGCTATCTTTTACTCACACTAATTATGTTCTCCCTTAATTCTTAATATGCATAACTTATTCATGATTTTACTCTTTTCAGTTATACCCATGACATCGAGGCCCTCAGCTGCGATGAAGTGTTGATAGATGGCTCTGCACTGCTAGCTGAAGTGGGCGCCAGCCCTGAAGATCTAGCCAAAGCGGTCAGAGCAGACATCAAGGAGAAAACGGGATGCTGTGCTTCAGTGGGCATGGGTAATTTGTTTGCCTAGTTCGTACTGTAAAATAGATCAAGGCGGCCGCTGCATTTTACAAAGTCTGACTAATCTGGTCTCTTCAGGGTCCAACATCCTTTTGGCTCGGCTGGCGACTCGTAAGGCCAAACCTGACGGCCAGTATTTCCTAAAGTCTGAAGAAGTGGACGATTTTATCAGGGACCTCCCGGTGACAAGCTTGCCTGGTAGGTGTGCAGCACCACCTTCTGGACAATCCACTGATATCAATTCTGTGTGGTAAAATATTCAGTCAAATGATGGTGATGCTACTTTTTCAAGGTGTTGGGCCTGTTATGGGGAGAAAGCTGGCCCTCATGGGTGTGCGGTCCTGTGGTGACCTCCAACAAGTTTCTCTGTCTAAGCTGCAAAAGAAGTTTGGACCCCGTACTGGACAGACTCTGTTCCGCTTCTGTAGGGGTCTAGACGACCGGCCAGTCCGCTATGAAAAGGAAAGGAAATCTGTCTCTGCTGAGATGAACTACAACATCCGCTTTACTCGGGTTAGACCTGCTATTTGTCCTCCCTTCTGTGTCATGTGTTCTACTTCAACATGCCAGCTTTTTTTTTTTTTTTTTCCCCTTCTAATCCTCTTATGTATCATTTACCAGGTTGATGAGACGGAGTGTTTCCTCACTAATTTGTCCATGGAAGTGCAAAAACGTTTACAAGAAGCAAGTCTGCGGGGTCGAAGAGTCACTCTGAAAGTCATGGTTCGCAAAATTGGAGCGCCACTTGAACCTGCTAAATACGGTGGCCATGGCATATGTGATCATTTAGCCAAGTAAGAAAGAGATCGTTATTCTGTCCTTGTGTGTTACAACTAAATCTTCATATTTTCTCCTCTGTTGTTTATCCTCACCACTGTTTCTTTGTAAGCTTATCTTTATCTGTCTCCCTTTTCATCAGGACCGTGATGCTCGCTCAGTCCACTGACAGTGGTCAGCTAATCGCTGCTGCAGTCATCAAGCTGTTCCACGCCATGAAGGTAGAGGTGCAAGACTTGAGAGGAGTTGGCATTCAGGTTCAGCTTCTTGAGGGACATCAGTCTGCAACACAGGACTGCCGAGGCCTGCGAGGACGCTCCATCAAAGAGATGCTGTTAGGCCAGGCATCGAGTGCCAGATCTAATAACCGAGGCGCGTTCGGTGTTTTTTGGTTCCGCTTGTCTTCATTGCTGTCTGTAAAAATCACTTACGTCTTGTAATATTATTACAGATGCTGCAGACGCGCTTCAGGAGAAGACTACTTCCTCTACAACAGTCCCAACAGCAAACTCCGCGCCATATCCTTTGTCACCTGCTGAGCCAGTACCCGGAACAAGCAAGGAACAACCAGCGTGCAGACAAACTCCAAAGCATTCTCGGACACGTCTCAACTTCAGTATCGAAGTCCCCTCCCCTTCACAGGTCAGGACTGGAGTGAAATGTCTGACTGGTAAAACAAAACCTAAACAGTAACATGCCTCTAACTGTCTCCTAATTTTGTCCAAGGTGGATCGTTCTGTGTTGGAGGCCCTGCCTGCAGAGCTGAGAGAACAAGTGGAGCAGTCGTGGACCAGGAGAGATGGGAGGCCAAATAACTGCCATTCCCCTGTTCTGCAGCTTTCCCCTCTCATTTCTCATCCAGCCTCTCCCCCTCGTCCTCCCCTTGCAACCGTACCTGCACTGAATTATCCACCTGTAGGAACGTTGGTCCTGCAGATTCCAAACCAGCCAGAAAGTCCAGGAATTGTACTGGAACTGCCCAACTTCTCACAGGTGTGTATGCTATAGATTTTTTTTTTTTTTGGTGATGGTTTGCCGGTGGTTTAATTTTACAGTCTAAAGTAGAGAGAAAATCAGGAAAAATTGGAAACTGTAGTTTCTGTTGTACTCCATTCCACAGAAACATGTAGTGCCTTGCTGGCTTGTAGCAATTTTGCATATTGGAGCCTTTAAACAGCACAAAGCGCTTTTCTCTACTGGAAATGTGCCATGAACACATGAGTTGTGACTGAAGCAGATGGTCCCACAAGTTAAAGAAAACAAAAGCTGGTTTCATTGTTGGTAGTAAGTGAGCTTCCCATCTGTCTGACTGCAGGTCGATCCAGATGTGTTTGCTGCCCTTCCCAAAGAATTACAGGAGGAGCTGAAGGCTGCCTACAGCCGCGCAACCGGTATCCACCCTCAGGTGAAAATGTGTAAGTCAGCAGATGAATTTCCTGAAGGAGTGCTTTTCTTTTTGATTGGTTGTTTTTACTTTTTTTTTTTTTTTTTT